ATAAGGAGCAGATGGCATGCTCTCTCCTCCTTGCTTGTTCTCCATAATTTCCCAGCTTCTTCTGCCCTCCCATTGATGATTCTGGCCTGGGTGAGCCAGCCAAGCCTGCCTCTTCCAGAGGTGTGCTACCAAGTTCATCCATCATCAAGCAGCTTGGACATTCATTTCATTTGGCCACATGCTGCGGCCAGGCTAGGGCTGGTACATGTGCTGCTCCCTGGCCACAGCAGACTTGCTTCTCATCCCCGTGGGGCTGGTCCATGCACGTTTGACAGGGAAATCCCAGTGACGTTACATGAGCTGCAGCTTCTTAGAAGTCAGCTGGGAGCAGTAGCTGCTAAAGCCAGGAATTTTGGCAGTTCCTGATGCAGCATGGATCTGGGGCCATTGGTGTCTGCCAAACATGAGAACAACTGGGCCACAAAATTGGTGAAGGGTTTAGAGGGGAAGCTGGATGAGGAGAGGATGAAGTCTCTTGGTTTGTTCAGCCTGGAGAAGAGGAGACTGAGAGGAGATCTCATCACAGTCTAGAACTTCCTCTCAAGGGGAAGAGGAGGGGCAGGCGCTGATCTCTTCTCTCTGGCCACCAACGCCAGGAGCAGAGGAAATGGCAGGAAGATGTGGGAGGGGAGGGTGAGGTTGGCCATGAGGAAAAGGCTCTTGAGGCAGAGGGTGGTGGAGCACTGGAACAGGCTCCCCAGGGAGGTGGTCATGGCACCAAGCCTGACAAGATTCCAGAAGCATTTGGCCAAGGCCCTCAGACACATGGTCTGAATGTTGGGATTGTCCTGTGCAGGAACAGGAGATGGACTGGATGATCCTGGTGGGTCCCTTCCAACTCGCAACATTCTATGATTCTATGAACTGGGAGGACATCAGTGGTCCCATGGAGTTTGACTTTCTGACCAGTTGGGTCAAGTTTAATGGCAGAAAAGAGGTCACCAGCAGGACTGGAACTCATGATGGAGAAAAAGCACTGAAGGCAGAGCTCAGGTTTGGAGATATCCCTGCCTCTGTCCTTGGAGACTCACAGGAGTTGTCCTCCAGCCTGAGGTCAAAAAGGTCATCAACCATGAAAGGCTTCAGCCTAAACAAGGAGGGATGCCTGGAGGAAGGGAGATGGTGACAGAGGCTCTCCTCCCTGTGCTGCCGGTGCAGACCAGCAGATGGAAGTTGCTGGTGTTTGCAGAAGCCATTTTGATCCTTTGCAGAAGTCGTTTGAATTGCTCTTCATCAGCATTTGCCGCAGAAATGGGCTGAAGGCACCAGATCATGCAACCTGCAGGACTGAGCTGCATCTGGGTACCCTTAATCATCAGCAGAGGCATGCAGGACCACAAGGAGAGCATCAGCACTGCAAGACACTCCTGACCTCAAAGACAGGAGCTCTGTGGTCCATTGCGACCAGCAGGTCCCTGGATGAATGCAGGTGTTGGATGACCTGTCTCCTTTCCTAGGTCTCTGCTTTCAAGCAGGGATTGAGTTTTGCATCTGGGCTTCCCACTGCCCTCCCTGAAGACAGCCTGGCCTGCTGTGAGCATGTCTAATCAGTTCAAAAGGAGACCCAGGCCAGCTCTGCAGTAGCTAGTCCAGTGCAGCCATGCCAGGAGGCCTTTTTGCATCAGAGCAGCTGGATTTTCTATTTCCAAATTGTTCCTTGCTGCAGCGCCTGGACCACACGCCATGGTGGAGCACAGCGCTTTCAGGACAAAATAGTCTGAAAGCTCCCAGATTTATTTATTGATTGTCCCACCTTCAAAACAAGGAAAAGAAGAGGAGGAGTTTGCAGTAAAATGTAGAATGAAACTACCAAAAGCAGCTTTTTTCCTCATTCCTTCTTCTTCTAGTCCCAATGCCATCTCCTCTCTTCTCTGGCCGCTTTCTCCTATGGCCGCTGCCAAACAGGCCCAGGCAGCACTAAGGACCAAATGACCTGGGTCGCAGCAACCTGCACCCTTTTCCTGGCAACACCCCATCCAGAGCTGCTCTCCACCCTGGACCTTCATCCCTCCCACAGACAAGGGACATCCCCTGTCCCCACATCACTGCCCAGGGAGAATCCCTTTGAGGAGGACACCAGTGGGAGCAGCCTGGGTGGGGCAGGGACATTGCCCACACGCACGAGCAGACATGGACAGAGGCAGCAAGCGCACACGTGTGCGCACACACACACATGCACGCGCCTGCGCCGTGCTCACTCCGGCCGGGAAGAGGATGCTCGGGGACCCTCAGAGCAGACGTGACCTACTTTAGCTCTGAGGCAAGCCGTGTTGCGCGGGTCCTGGTGTAAAAGCTTAATAGAGCCGGGTGTAAATTATTTATTGCCTGGCCATGTTAATGCATGTGCTAAAGGCTTTTTTTTTAAAAAAAAAAAAAAATCTCCTCTATAATTTAAAGCCTTACACGCTCCCATCACCAGGCCCCAACGGCTCTCCGGGGTGTTTCCGCTTAGGTGAGCAGAGCTGTGAGATGTGGATGGAACTGATGGGGAAAAGACGGCTCAGCAGGACCTGGAATGCAGGCAGGAGCTCGGATTTGGGCAGGAGGTGGGATTGAGGTAGGAGATGGAATTCGGGCAGGAGCTGGGAAGCAGGCAGGAGGTGGGATGCAGCTTTGCCTGGACCGTAGGCAGAGAGATCCCAGGGGGAAGGGGCTGGCAGCGCTGCTCTGGCTCGGGCAGCCCGCAGCAAGTCACTTCCCGGAGTGTCAGAGCTCAGCCGAGCCCGTTCCCAGGCACAGTGGCCAGTGGGGCTATTTTTAGCTCTGCTTTTTGCTCTTTCTTATTTTTTTCCCCCCCGCCCTGCTCCTCATCTTTGCTCAGCACTGCCCTCAAACCCAGGGGAGAGAGGAAAACACAACTCCCTGGGGTGGGAAGCTGCATGGGAGGGCTTTAGGAGCACCCCATGGTAGGGACTCACTGGATCCAGCCCTGGAGACAATCTTTGGCACAGCAAGAAGCCCCACCCCCAGGCCACCCCAGTGGGATTTAAGCACCACTGTAAGATCCAGTCCTGTTTTCATCCCACCAGGACAACCACCCCTTTTCCCCAGCACTGCAGGTCCCATGGCTGTTTGAGCAGGTATGGATAAGACCACCAAAAGAGATGGGCAGCCCTGGCCAGGGCATCCTACACCGGAGGAGGAGCTGGCTGGCCAGACGTGGGGTGATGCTGCAGCTGCAGAGGACGTTTGCCTTCTATGGACATCTCTCCTCGCTGCACTGCTGGCAGGGAGAACAGTGCTGGCACAGAAGAGGAGAGGGCCTCAGCCTCCACAAAAACACCCAAAAAAAGCTCATGATTGCCCTCTCAGAGGCCTCCAGGAGAGCTCAGCGTCAACAGCCCCTTCAGCACACGTTGAGGACTTGCGGGGAACCATGTCCCAACACCATCCATGGTCCTCAGCAGCATCTCAGAGCAGGCTGGGGCCCAGGCAGGGTAGGTGACACCAAACCTGAAGCATCTCAACCCATTCCCAGAAGAAAAACACAACAGACCAGAAAAGGAGTCACAGCAGCCTCTAGGTATTTTTTTTTTTTTTTTCATTTTTTTGGTTGCATTTCATATATTATCCAGTTTCACATTCTCATAGGATCAGCAATTATATAGCAACTTATTCTCAAATCTTTTAATACAAGCGAGACAGCCATGGTCATATAATACTTAAAGCACTTCAATACCAAGCAATAAGATGCTAAAACGAAAATTGCACAATTTCTTGTTTACAAAGCCTGACTGAATCATTGTTACAGAAGACAACCCTTCTCTTTCAAGCTTTTAACTAAACATTAACTTATCTTACAGGAGTACAATTTCTCTTTAATAATAATTAATTGCACACAAACACACAAGAAATTCTTTATGATGCATAAATATTTCCTTATTACACATGGTACAAAAATACTCGTACTTTTTTTTGTTCGGTATTCCCATAAGGATGGCTGATTATTTGGCAGGACTGGATGCTCTCCAATCAGAAGGATGTGGAAGAAAAAAAAACAAAAAAAAGAATAAACCAAAACCCACAGAGGTTAGAGCGTTTACAGTCATTCTATATATAGAAGTTTGAAGAAAAAAATATAATAACCCTGACTTTAAAACCGGAGAAGAATGGATGAGAACAGAAACCCAGTGCATCGTACTTAAAAAAAAAAAACATAATTTTTCAAATTTTTCTGGTTGTACTGGGAAGGGGAGGGCAGAGGTGGGAGAAGGGGTGAGACAAGGACAGTTAGTATTTCCCAAAGCCAAGTCTTCACCAAAGCAAAATGAAAACCTTGATGGATCAATCCGTTGGGCCAAGACCTGTTGCTAACGGTTACACAAACGCTAGAACAAACAAACTTACACTCACACATACACAAGTTAAGTGTTTTAATTCATGCCAGAAAACATGCAAAACCCATTGCTTTTCCTTTCCTTCAGCCGAGCCGCTGGGGCAGGGCAAGCCCAGGACCGAGACCCCCCGGCTGGGTTTCGGCACAGCCGGATGGCGAAGCTCAGCTGGAGAGGATGTCCTGGGGATGGAGGGATGGGATGGAGGGATGGATGGAGGCAGCGCCCAGCCTGTTGCGGGGGACTGCAGCAGCTTCACAGTCCGGGGAGGGGGGAATGCTGGCAGCCCCAGCAGGGAGCTCGCCGGGGCCGGGCGCCTTGTCCGCTGGCCACAAACCAAACCGAGAGGAGTCTGAGCGATTGTCCCTGGCACATCCCCCCGCAGAGATGCAGGGAGGAGGAACACAAGCCAAGGAGAGACACTGTGGGAGAGGAGCAGCAGTGAGTGGCACCCGCAGCCCCTTCCCCACCCTGGGGCTTGGTGGGTCTCCCTGCTCCTGCCAGGGTGGATTTGGCCCCATCACCCATCAATAGAACCCAACCACGTCCTTAGGTGGGCAGATGCAGGGGACTGAGCCTGAGCTCCCATCCCTCCTCCCCACAAGAACCCAAGGATGAGCAAGACAAGAGACCATCTCCAAGAGTAATTAATTACTTACTAACAAACTAACAAAACTGACGAGACTTCCATCCTTGCTGGGTAGCTTCAGAGGGAGGATACCAGCGCATCTGGAAAAGAAAGCCACGCCAGAGGTCCGTGATCGGGATTATCTTAACCAGAGCCCAAACCTTCAGCTCCTTCAGGCTACATGAGGTAGACAGAGTAGAGATGTCTCCAGCATGGGAAAGGAGCCTCCAGGGTGAGCCCCAATACTACTTGAGTAGATCCCAACCTGGGGCTGCACCATGTCAGCACCACCCAGCGTGCCAGCTCCATAGGCCAGGTCTTCCCTTAAGGAGCATGGCAGGTTCCAACACATCTAAGAAGGCAGCTAGCACCCTATCTCGGAGCTTGCCTCAATATCTCAAGTACTTTATGCCTACTGACATAATCAGAAGACCATGCCTAGCCCCAGCTCACTACAGCACACAAAACACCAACATTCCACCTAGGAAAGCTCCTCACCACCAAGCTATCTATGAAGTTTACCACTGCAGAAGTGTGTGCAAGGAGGGGCTGTTCCTCCCAGCACGCTCCTAGTCCCCCAAGTTAATGTCTTTCCCCCCTGGTCAGGCTCAGGCAGGGTAGAGGAGGCTCCCTTCGGGCATGCAGCACCCCAAGGTGGTGGTTGCTCTGCCCTCATCCAGCAGAAGGAGGCATCTCAAGACCACACATTTAAACCAGACAACCTCTAGGTGACAGACACAGGGTAAGAACTGGCTCATCCACCACAGAAGAGACCCATGAAGTTTCCTAAACCACAAGCCAGCCAACAGAAGAGGCTCCAAGCAGACCACATCATGGGAAGAACTTGGTAGAGCTGAAAAGCAGCAAGAGTTGGAGGCTTCCCTGGAAGGTCACTGCCAACACATCTACTGCCTCAGGCCTGCTCCTTGCCAAGGAAGGACTGCTGGATGGGGACCCAACAAGCAAACATGGGAACAGTAACTGAACAGACACCTTCCAGCTTGCCAGTAGATGCAGCAAACTGGCAACATCCAGTAGAATAGCATCAGACATCCTGATGCTCCCATTTTGTCTGCAAGACCGGTACGTCAGGCTGGGCTGAGTTAGCAGCTTCATGCCCGAGAACAGCAGGAGATGAGTCTGTGACACTTGACTGAGCACAGATCCAGCAGCAGGAGCAGTTAGCAGAGCTTGGTTTTGCCACTGTTTGCAAAGGAAGCTGAAACACAGCAGCCATCCCCCTGCTCCTCCCTCCCCAGCTGGTGGGAGGAGAGCAGTCTCAGTGTTGGACAGGCATCAAGAGCAGCAGGTACGTTCAGGGCTCTGGGTACCAGCAGAATGATGGACTTTGCTCTAAGATGGGTAGAAAAGAGGCAGAACTAGAAGCCAGCATGAATTGTTCCCCTTGTCAGAGCATCCTGGCAAGGTTGTCCCCTTGCCTGAACAAGTCTGGCTAGATCCTCCCCTCCCAAGCACATGCACTATTCCAGGGCCAAAGGAAAAAAAAATAAAACAAACAAAAAAACCCCCAGCATTCCCAGACCAGCTCCAAGCCCCATGCACAGCACTCACCCACTAATCACAGAACCGTAGGAGCTGGAAGGGACCTCAGGAGATCATCTAGTCCAGCTCCCCTGCCAAAGCAGGTTCCCTACAACAGGTTGCACAGGAAAGCATCCAGAGGAACCCTTGGCCAAGGGCAATTCTGCCAGCCTCTAACAGGGCTCTTACCAGAGTCAGGTCTCCCTGCAGACTATAAGCAAACAAGAGACATCAAGAAAGCCACTCCAGGTTGAGATGACACCTTGCAATGAAGGGGCCCAGGAGCTGCCTGTTTGATAACCACCTAGCAGGCAGCACACTGCCCAACTGATGCACTGGATGACACCTGCAACACAAGTTCTTGCTGCAAAGTTATCCAGGAGTGGAGATGGAGACCTGTGCCCTCAACCCAGCTGCATGAGACCTCCAGAAGCTGCACACAAGTCTTCAGAAGAGACAGAGCTGAAGACCAGGACTCTCAAGAGACTCAATGACAACCCATGGATTACTCTCCAAGCTAGGCACATCCTCAGCAGGTCCCTTCAAACCCTACTCCCTTTACCCCTGTAAGAAGCAGAAGCCTGACGCTTGATGTCTCCTCCATGCAGAGACATGCAGCAAACTGCCAAAACCTTGGCACTGCAGCCTCCTTACAAGAGCTGGAGATGACAATAAGCACACATCTCCCAGAAAGCCCAGCTGCCTGCTATGGCCAAGTCCTCCCTCCATCAGCACAAGGGCTGTGATGCCAGTAACTGAACAGCCCCAATCACGATCTCAGGGACCTCAAGTTCCTCTTCTTGTGATTGCTCTTACAGGGAGGAGGCCTGCAAGTTTGCAGAGGTTCTGTCCTAGCAGGATCCTCTCATCAGGTTAGATCTGCTGGATCTCAGGCTCCTGTTCATGCATCAGCACCACACCTGAGGTAGCTGCCTGTAGCCAGGCAGACTGGGATGGTCAGAATCCTTGCCAGACACCTTCATGAGATGAATGGGTGCCATCAAGTCAGCTCCCAGCTGGCCCCATAGCTTGCTCCATGACACAACAGCCAGTTGCATCCCAGTCAATCAAGCCTTACAGGGAGAGAATTGAGGACATGGACATTACCAAGACCCTCTTCTCCAGTCAGGGGTCCCATCTAGTGCCATGACCAAAGTGCTATCTTGGTGCCACAAACACCATGACTTCACTCCTCTGTAAGCAGGATCTAGCTCAGCTGCACCCTTGCTCCCCAGCCTGGGAGCACCACACTGCTCTGGGACATGGTTGCACTGACACAGGCCAGAAAGACTCACAGTCCAGTTTGGTCAGCAGCATCACTGACACCTTATGGGGTCACCACAGCAGCTGCCAGTGCAAGGCCCAGGGTTACTTGCTCCCTCCAGCCCTCTCACCAGGAGGTGCTTGCTCAGCAGAACTTCATCTCCTCAGCAGCCAGCTGTCCTCCTCCCTGGCCAATGACTCCCACTCCAGCACTCCTCCCCTTGACAGCTGGAAGTAGTTTCCTCCTGCCCAGCAGTAACAGGAAACTCCCCCTGCATTCAGGAGGCTGTGAGTTCTCAACCTCCAGAGCTGCCTCCATCCTACGCCGGGCTCAGCATGACCTACATGAGCAGGCACAGCAGCTGCGTACATGCAAGACAGCCATCCCCACCCTGCTCCCCACATCTGGTGGCTCCTCATCCTCTCCTCAGGGGGTCTGAGACAGCTTCTGTCCCATATACATGCCCCACCCCAAGCCTGGCCAGAGTCTCCAGCACCTCCAGTTTCAACAGAAATCCTGCTTTTCTCTTAAAACACACCCTACTTGTAGCTCTAGCACTAATAACCCTGATGGACCACCTCTCCTTGCCTTCCTCCTCTAGGTCTCTGATGCTTATACATGCAAATCCAACCAGCCTGACTCACAGTGGCCCCACCTGCCAGTAGCACACCCCAGCAGACAGAAGTTGACAGGAGCTCCTGCAGATGCAACAATCCTGGGTCCAGGCCAAGGCTCTGACACCTTGGCAGGCTGAGGGAATGACCTGACAGGTCTTTCAGCCCAGAGAAAGATGAAGGGCTTGATGGGATGAGGTGGGAACATCCCCTCACTAGGAGGGATGTTTCCAAAAGCAGCAGAAAGCACTGGAAGAACCAGATCAGACACAGCAGCTTCCCAAGTGGACATGCTCTTCAAGATAGCGGCACCTGCCAGGACAGTTTTCTCTTCACATCCCTCAAGTGTCTTAGGCACCTTGATTTTTCCAAGAAGTAGAGAGGCTCTGCAAACAGGGAGCTCCCAGAGCCACCTGGAAGAGGAGACCAGCACCACAAGAGACCACATAGGGTTGTCCCAAGAGGATTGCAATGCAGCAAGGCAAGCCAGAGGACTTCCCTGTAGGGAGGAAACTTCTCTGAGGGCTTTCAGAAGATCCCGTTATCTCTCAAAAGACTATGTCTCTCAAGGAGGAAGCTGAGAAGGAGTGGAGACATCCAGCACTGGGCAAGGAAAGCAGAGCACAAGAGGCTTTTACTGGAAAAGACACAGTTGTTTCTGAAGCTGCATTAGCTCACAGTTGGAAAGGAGGCTGGCCCCACCACTGCAAACATCTCCTGCTCACCCACCCACAGGGATGGGACAAACACCACCAGCCAACTGCAGCCAGCCTCGTGCTGCTGCACTCAACATCTGTCCCAGAAAATAGCTGGAGGAGAGAAATTTGTGCCTTTGCCTGCCACCTTCCAGAGGCCAGATGAAACATCTGGAAGTGAAGAGCCTCTCCCTTGCTGCAGCACAAAACCAGTGCTACCTAAAAACCAGAAAGAAACAATAAATGGGGCAGATAAACATCTCATCAGGACTTCATTCTCCTTGTCCTCCAAAATTTCCTATTTTGCCCACTGTCTTCATTCCTTCAGCAGGTCAGCAGGAAAAAGAGAGGTGGGAAGGAAGGAAGGAAGGACTGAATACATGGATCCATCCTCAAGCCACCTTCAACCTGGCCTGCCTTTCCTCCTTAGTCACTTCTAGGTCTACTTGTCTTTGCATTCAGCCCCAGCATCTTGTGGAGCTCAGGGCCATCCCTACAACTGTAATGGACCCAGCCACCAGAAAGGCTCTCTGTGCAAGCAGGGACAAAGCACTCCATTGTGCTCCTAGGAGCTGGTAGGACCCCAACCAGCATGTCCAAGAGCTGCATCTAGTTACCAGCTGCTGATACAGAGTGACATCTTCACGGCACTGCTGAGACAGCATCACGCTGACAAGCCACAAGCACTTCACAGTCACTGCTTCCCCCAGGCTGCAGGTCACTGGGTGCAAGTTTTGTGCAAACTGCATTGGTGGCCAGCAAGAGCTGCTCTGCTCCAGCTGGAAACACAGCTGGTGGGAACATGACCCAGGGTAGACAAGGACAGCCTGCAAAGATGCATCCACAAGGCACTAAGGTCATCCATTAGTGCTCTCTGGACACACACTTCCAGCCTCAGCAGCAGGCCTTTCACCCAAACCACCTGCTTCCAGGGTCCTTCAGGGTGCTGGGTTGAGGCGATGAGCATCCAAACACTTGCATGCTGTGCAAGACCCAAGCAGCTCAGCCCACCACCAAGAAAGCCTTGCTGCGGTCAAATCAAGAACACACTTCTCCCCAAGCAGCTACAGTGAGGGAGAGCTGGAGGATCAGCTCATGAGGAGCATCCAGAAGACAGGCCCTGATCCATTCTGTTGCTTAGAAGAGGCATCCATCCTTTGCCTATGCAGCTCATGGAGACATACCCATCTCACAGATCTCAGCAAACAAGTGTTTCTTCTCTTCCCATAGTAGAAGTGAGTTGTGCTGCTTTTATTTGAGTTGAGCTAGCCAAGGAGAGCCTGTGCTGGCCATGGGTCAGGAGTCACTGCTGACACCATGTGAGTCCACTCATCAGGTGTGATTTAGCAAGAATCAATGCTCAGCAGGTACCCAGAAGAGCTAAGGGCATCTCCTGCCTGCTTTTCTCTGACTAGAGGGAAACTGCTGGCTTGGGGAGAGCTTGTTCAGCCTGTGCCAGCACCAAGTTTAGGAAAACATCATAGCCATGAAGGTCTTGAGGAGTGCTTCACATCTCTAGTAAACCTGGAGACCGCCCAGAAAAAGGAATCCTGGCAAGTCCTACATGACAGCCTCAATGAGCAGGTACAACAAGACACTAGGCACAGAAAATCTGTCACTGTCTCCAGCCCCACATCCCAGGAAACGTCTATCAGAACTCAGCTGCCACAACATGAAGTCCAGGAGATTTTGCAGATAGGACCACAGAGTCAGTCCAGAGTGATGAACAAAGGCAGGATCCTCATTGATGCAGCAGATCACTGCTTGGTGCTCCAGGGCTCAGCTAGGCTGGTGGCACCCAGGTGGTCACACACCCAGACAACAGCAGCATCCCAACAGGAGATAGTATTTGAGGAGAAGCCTCAAATACTGAGGCCACCTGAGCAGAGCCCACCCAGCAGATCTTCCCCACATCCCCAGTTCTCTAGGGCCAGTACCAGATCACAGCCATGGGGATCTGCCTCATGTCCATCCACAAATAGAGCCACCACTGCTCAGGAGATCCAGTTTGCTCTGAACCAGCCCAGGCAGAAAGTGAGAGAAAGGTGTTTTTTAAGTACTGACCTCCCCTTCCATCGATGGGCTCTGCTTCAACTCAGTGCTAAGAAACCTCAGGGTCCCACTGGGCTCTTGCACCACCACCACATAGCCCCGATTCAGGACTGCTCCTTCCACCCACCACTTGCTTGGACAGGTCCCAGCTTCAGAGGCCCACCTCCACCATCTCCTCAAAGCCTCCAGACAAGGCTACTGCCAGCAGCAGCAACATAGAAGCTCTGAGGGCAACTCAGGCAGCCTGCTCCCAAAAGGATAAGCAGCTGTGAGCTTTCAGCCTATGACCAGCTCCCTGCCTTGGAAGCATCTACCACAGAGGGTCTCCCAGGCTCTGGGAACTCAACATGTCAGCCTAGTCTCCTACAAGTACCATGTGGTAGCCACCACCAGCCTCACCCATGTTCTTATGAAACAATCCTGCATCTAGCATTACTTCACAGAAAAGCTCCAAAAGCACCTGTAGTCCCTGGTGTCTCCTAGTGCCCACTGAGATCTGGGCTTGGAGCCACTCCAAAACAAGTTGTTTCACATCAGACAATGCAGCCCAACTCCATTGCACAAGCAATAGATGAAACTGTTCACCATGTCCAAGAACAAACCAAGGTGTGTCACTGTCTCTATCCTTGTGTCAAGGGTTCCCCATTTTCCTAGGAGACCAGCTCTGTACATATTGCACCCCACAGTCTTCCAAGGGCAAAGGCAGACCTGGGCCTCCATCTTTGATGGCTGCTTTCCCCAACATCACTACCAAACAAAGGAAAAAAAGTCTACCCAGAACCATTGCAAGAAGTGAGCCAGGACTTGGTTCCTTCAGAGCTGACCACAGCAACCACCCTCCCCACCAACTGGTCCGAGGCCAGACCATCTTCCCTCTTCCCAAGCTCCCAGTTTCCTACACCACTCATCTCTCCCATGCTGCTGATTCCTTTGTTACTGCTCACAAGACCTATGTCCTGCCTGTGATTTCAGGCTGCAAGAGATAAGCCAAGCTCCAGGTAGGAACTTGCTCTGTTTCCAGTAACTGGAGAGGAAAGAGGTGAGATTAGACCCTTGATTAAGGGCAGGGTCTCTCCCGGTATGCAATTCTGGAACAAAGTGACCGGCAAGTGCTGTTGTCTAATGTGCCCACTAGAATTTAGTTGTGTGCTATCACTATCACGTCACTCACCTCCCCCACCGTGTGCCAGAAGTGAGGTCAAGGTGTATTTCTGGTTGCCCTCGAAGGGTTGTGGTTGGGGAGAAACCAGGTTTCTTTCAGGCCAAGCGGCAGGGTTGTCTCTGCCCCAGCTCAACCAGGCTGCTCCCCTCCCACCAGCAGGACCTGGCTGAGCCTGGCTCAGCTGGGAGGAGTTGATGTAAGATGGTGCCATGCTGTGTGCGCCATGTCATGTGCTGCCAAGTTGGAGATGTGGGTTAGAAAGAAGGCCTGGTATCTCATTCCCCAGGCTCTGGTGGGTGGGTAGCGTGAGGCCCATGCACTGGGTTGCCAAGGAGATACAGGCTACAGAGATGGGCAGAAGCTTGCAAATCCCATGGTGCACCTTGGAGGAGAGATGGTTACCTTACCAGTCTTTCCAGACGTGGCTGCCATCATGCTTAACACTTCTAGGAATGGAGCTGTAGGACAGCCACTCCACTAGCTGCAATAAGGCATCACTAGGGTGTCCCCACCTCCAGGGACAGCTCTGAGCTTCAGGGCTAGCCTGCGCTGGCATCATGGCTGGAGTTCACTAGGGACATCAAAGGAGGTATTTGAGAGAGGGTGGGAGGGAGGGGAAGGCAGATGGGACAGTCAAAGTCAGTGGAGTCCCCATAAGTAGAGGCAGTACAGGGTCAGGCCACGGTCACATCTACAGCAGCCTGGTGCCTCCCGGGAGCATCACCATGACATGGTGATTCAGCAGTGCCAGGAGCGGCAGCCACCAGTGTCACCTGCAAGCAGCTTACCAATGGCTCCCAGCACACAAGCCGAGGCCAGGCCAGCCTCACACCATCTCCTGTCCCTTATGACTCCTGCCAGCCCTCTGGGCAGCTCTTCAGGAGGTTGCATAGGTGCATTGCAGAGGGTGGCCACCTCATCTCCCACTCACCACCAGACTTGAACACAGAGCTGCAACAGGACAAGCGCTTCAGGTTTAAATCTTTTGCGACAAGCTCTTAGCTTAGCCGCTGCCTCCATCTTCATGCCCACTCCAGGACTGAAAGCTATGGAACTGCTACAGCTCTGGCCATCCCCATGAATGTTCTCAAGCCAATGTCAGTCTCAGGAGGAAGAACTGCAGCTGTCCTGGAGAACAACCCACATGCCCACCACCCCAGGACAAGCGCTTCAGGTTTAAATCTTTTGCGACAAGCTCTTAGCTTAGCCGCTGCCTCCATCTTCATGCCCACTCCAGGACTGAAAGCTATGGAACTGCTACAGCTCTGGCCATCCCCATGAATGTTCTCAAGCCAATGTCAGTCTCAGGAGGAAGAACTGCAGCTGTCCTGGAGAACAACCCACATGCCCACCACCCTACCACTGAGAGCAGAGGACTCGGCACATCAAGACCAAGATTACAGCTTTTAGCCTAGTTTGTGAACAAAAGTCATCTCGCTGACTTGCTCCACCCTGCAAGAGAAAGGGCTCCAGCTTCAAGACTGGGCAGCTCTGAGCTGCCAGCCCGAGTAATGTTTAACCCCATAAAACTTTATTGGTAACGTATACTGCGCCAGAGTGTCTCCCTGCGAGGTCACCGCCAGCTCAAGCACAACGCAGCGAGGAGCAGCTGTAACTGCTGAGCCAGCCCAGCTGCTGCTCTTCTTCAGAGGAGAGCTGGGTCTGGCCATGGCCTGCTGGGGCTACACTGGCTTCCTAAGGCTTAGGGGCACATCACCACTTATGGACCTCCTTAGGAAGGGAGTCCTACCTATACAGAGAGCTCCCTGGAGCCTCAGGGTCATTCTTCAGGCCAGAAGACCAGTTTGAAAGCTAATCTGTCTGTCCAGAATGAGTAGCTTGCCAAGTGGAGTGCAGTAACTGAGACCCCAGATGGAGCAGATCTGGCTGAAGGCCTCCTTGATACCTTCCACTTTATAAGGGCAGAGTTTTTCTCCCCCACCATAAACCATGAAGTTTTGGTTTATAACCCTTACACTCAGGTCCCTGTATAGTCACTGATGATCATCCTTGAAGGACCTGCAGTAATGGTTCCACCTCCCTCAGCCAGGCCAGAGGGGTTTTTTTCCTGGTCCTCCCTTCCAGGGGAAATTCAACCAGCAACAGCCCTTGGCTCCATCACCCTACACACCAGGGGCAGGGAAAGGAAGACATCTGCTCTCCTAGGCTGCCCAGGAGCAGAGCACACTCAAGATGCTCCTGTATGCATGGACACCATCAATAACTTCTGGAGAACAACAACAAGCACAACTCTCCCAGTGAGGGACCAGCCTACTTGAAAAAGCAGCCTGGCTCTGGAGGCCCTTGGAAGAACAAGCCAGGGCCCCAGGGAAGAACAAGAACAGTCCTGCCCTGGGCCTCATATCCTTCTTGCCTACTCTGCAGGAGCTTCAGCCCAATGCTAGCTCACCAGTAGAAAGGCAAAAGCAGAGGCCTGAGAGTGTGTGAAGGGAAGGATGGACAGGCCTACATGGGCCAGGAGCTTGTATCCATCCAGCACCTCCATGTTGTATTTGGGAAACAAGCTTGGGTTGAAGCTGGGCAGTTACAGTCAAGATGCTTGTGGGAGCAAGAAGATGCCAAAGGGCCAACTGAACTGGCCATTGCCTGGTGGACAAGGTGAGGGGACACAGCTGCTCTTCTTTTCAATTTAAACAGGGAAGAGTGGAGCTAAACACCCTGGTTGGCACAGCAGAGAGCAGAGGTGTACCCCAATGGTACCCACTGCCCTAGTCCCCCATGGCACTACTACAGGAGCAGAGACCAAAGCAGGCAGAGCACAGCTGGCTGGTAACACCAAGCAGGGTAGGGACAGGGGCTCCAGGTTCTCCTGTACAAGTGCTCCAAACCAAGCACCTTCATCTGGAATTAGGATGCTACTTCTCTGGTTTGGCCTTCTCTTTGCATTTCCAGGGTTACAGGGACTTCATGCTCAGCAGGGCTGTTGGCCTCAGTATGTTAGAGCATTCCAGTATCAGACCAGTACAGCTGGTCAGTAAGCATACCCTCTGGGACACCAGGCAGCTGGTTGCACCACCACCAGCATTTCCACAGGCCCATCTCTAGCCTGCATCCCGTGGCTAACGCCACTGCCCCACAAGTTCCTCACTACGGCTATGTTCTGATCACTCCTCTCCTGGAGGATATCCCCCTCTGGTTTCAAAAGCATTTGAGCCGTTCAGCCCAAAGGGGTTCTGGTTGAGCCCCTCAGCTTCAGCACAGAGCCAGGCCTGTTCCCTGCACTGTGACATCAAGGAGGACATTTTGTAGGTATTTTACTTGCTGGGATACAGCACATCCTCCCAGAAGTCCCACACCATGGCTCTCCAGTCATGGGGACCAGGAAAGCCAGTCAGACACTGAGCTCTGACTTTTCTTCTCTAGCAGTGAAGCAGGCTGGACCTAAGAAATCATCGACCAGCTCTGACTGCACTCAGCCATGTAGACCTCTCCCCTGCAGTTTGCTCAGGTCTGGGGGGCCCCCCCATGCACTTCAGCCGGGAGGA